ATTTGGGTAGGTACGCGGTACGCGTAAATTGCATGCAACCAGTGTATTTGAAATCATTGCGTAATGGTCAGAATGGATGATGACATGAAGATCTGAATGAACGAAAATGAAAAAGGACCGATGGTAGAATCAGAGTGCCAAGTAATGAAGGTTTTGGATCATATCGTGGATAGGAAACAAGAAGAGACTTGATATACGTGTCGGGTAAGGATTGGGAGCCTAAAATTGAGGCATGAGGATAAGAGGTTAAAGTAGATGCTATCGCAGTCGTATTGGACAAAAAAACCAAATCTTCCGTTTTTTCAGTTCTTGCTTGTTCTCATGAGTATGATCTATATTATCAGCTTCTATCTTGCGTTTGCGATTCGACAACCCAGAGCTCGACCGCAGCGATACTGCCTTTAGGCTTTGAGATCTTCAGTCTTGACATTATCTTTGTCTTTGGCGAGACCAATGAGGCTGATCTCCTCCGTGAACTTACTGAGAGAGCCAGATCGAAGAGCAGACCATCCTGGACTGCTGTCCGAGTGTTTCTCTGTCTTCAATCCTTGCTCGAAGCTGTCTTCAATCTCATTAACGTCCTCATCGTCTGAGTCTGAGACGACAATTGGCGAACGGTTCTGGGAGGTCAAAGACGAGCCTGACTTGAATGATGTGATTACGGGAGAGCGAAGATGAATAGGTGGTACAGGACTACCCACATCTTGGATGGTGTGCGTGGATTTTTGGGTGGAATACGGGGAGGTGATTGTTGCCTCGGAAACGGCGTTGCAGCTGAAGAAGAAAGAAGTGCAGAAGAATTTTGTTCTGCTTGGTTTGTGGTCTCTTCGATATCGGTCTATCGGCATTAATGGAGCCTCCAAGACTCGATTAAATAACTACCTACCTGGCATGCCTTATCAATCCGAAGTGTTTTCTCTGTTTCTCTGGTTTAACCTGTTTATATATATGTCAAAAGTACGACATCTCAATCAAAGACACTGGTTTTATCATACCTGATACTTAGCTTGCATTGTCGATTTCTCGCTGGTTCATACCTAGTTCTATTTAGACTGCTGAAGGCGTAACAGTGTTGTGAGATTGACCAAGCGAAAATTGAGCTTTCATATTCTCCAATTTTATCCCTGAACCTTCACTCCAACTGATAAGTACGCTAAAGGGATTTAAGATAGGGATGGTGAAGGAGGGGTTCGAAATCTGTAAAAGGGAGGGGTAAATGATCCTAGTTATCTTGAGCACAATCAAATTATCGTTTACGAGTTCCAGAACTATGAAAAGGTTCTGCCTTCGGGAGACAAGTCTCCCGAAGGCAGAATCAATGTGAGACTCGGACAAGCTCGCTTATCAAGACCCAGGTCCCAGACGACAAATTTAAGGGCTCTGTACAGCTGCGCAGCCTCAATCGCTCTTTTTCCTTCCCTCTCAGTAAGTATCGAACTCCTGAAGTCTGATGTCCCTTCCTCACTGTTTAACTTCCTCACTGCCAGCATTCTGCTTCAAGGGCTAGATTTGCTGGTCAAATCTATCATCTGCTCGCATGTGCGTGTTTTCCGCAGCGTATTCTGAGGTTGGGGAATTAATGTTTTTCTTCCTCTCAAAGAATTTCGACGTTGATTCCGCATTCTTCTCATTTATCACCCTCTGGAAATCTGCCTTGGGACGTTTACTCTCTGTTGCAACTATCATTTACAGGTACAAATTTCCGCTGAAAATTTTCTCTCCTTGGGCTTGACGCTGTTTATTTCTCTTGTACCTCAGGCATCTTATCCTCCAAGATCTACCGATATGCACCTTCTATCATCCCCAGCACATTTGTTCTCAATGGTTCTCCTCTCAATTGCTCTTGGAGTTATGACTATGGCCGTGCCGTTGACAGTTCGCGACACGGATAGTATCGGAGAATGGCAACGGCACTCTAAACGCCTTGATGATGGGCACATAGTTGGCCTTGTCCGACGGTTCGGCCAAGAGCAGCAGTCTGAAGCAAAAAAGCAACGCAACGCCAAGAGCAGCAAGAAGCTCGATGGCCAAGAACGCTGGTACCTCTACATTACCCAATCCCACAGTTTTCATGCAATTCAGGAGAATCAACTGTGGCGGCTCAAGCATGTTATTGACGACAAGAGACCCAGTCCCGGGCTTATCTTGGGGTCCATCAAGTACGATGTGTACTCCCCTTCCTCGAAGCGCCTGGCGAATCTTTATTCGAAACTTGAAACAATCACAGGCGCCAGTCAGTTTGAAGCGCTTAATGCGATGATAAATTTCTTGAAGACCGACATCCCTGAAGGACTGGAATATACACCTCGTCCAGAAGATCCTGACGCCTGGACGAAAATATTCTTGGCTATGACAGATTATGACCTGTATCTACACCAGTTTCCATATGTTCCCGAGAAGGACCGGTACAAAAGACCGACGGGTGAAACAACCGTTGAACAAGCTGCATCAATTTCGAAGGGGATCTCTCAGCTTCCTACCACATCTGGTGGTCAATCAGCGGGAAAATTGGAGGCTCAAGGATATGATGGAAAGCCAACGCAGGGCAAGAGCGTCAAAGAGCAGATGAGGGTTAGTAATCTGCTAGGTCCACAAAAAAATAATGAGCAAACGCAGGCGATGAGCAGCAGTACAGATCCGATGAGGATTAGTAATCTGCTAGGGTAAACTCAGTAGAAATGTGTCGCTACTTTGTTAGTCCCTAGAATTCTTTGTACAGTGTATCAAGTTCTGTGTACGATGTTACTATTGAATGAAAACTCACGTTGATGACCACGGTGTCCGTCACACCACATATTATTTATTGAGAAGGGTTTTACAGTATGTTTTCTGTCGAATGTGCTTCATCGGCGGCGATCGATGCATCCTTGATGTTTTTCTTCATCTTATCACAGCCCGATAGATCGACGGCTTCAATCTGTGAAGATGAACCCTCCGAGTCCGAGCAGTAGATAGAGCGAACAGTATATCACAGGTTTCGAATCTCCTGTGAACACGGATAATCATACTACGTACTCCTTGATCTCTTTGAGCACTTTACCTTTGGCATGATCTCGGTGCGGGTTTTGTCGAAGAGGAAGTCAACTGACACGTTTCCCGAACGTCCTTTGTATTGAGAAATGTGTTGACTAGCGAGTAGTTGGATTGGATATCAGAATGAGTTTGGGATGGCGTGTCGGACTTGACTTGTCGCCAGTGGTACCGGAGTTCGTAAATACCAACTAGAGGAAGAAAAAAAACGGCAAGGGGAATTATTGATGATTGTCAACGTTCAGAAAGCCTTATGATCTTCAGTGCCCAGTTATGTATAAGAGAGTTTGGATCAACCCAGCCAGTTAAAAGAGAGAGACTCAATGAGCGGGTTTAGGAGGGACTTCTGAATGATGATATGTGTATTGAAGTTCCGACTGAATGCGTCCGACGACAGGTCTGATACAGTCTGATACAGAACTCCCATAACCTTCTGATATAGCTCAGTAAAAAAAATGCAAGAGACAAAGAGGCCGTGAACAAGAATTCGGAAGGCATCCGTTGTCGCGGATATCATGACTGTCAGAAATTTGTTATCTTATCTCTGCGCCGGATCGGATCACCCGGTTCTCTTTTTCTAATATTCTTCAACACTCAACCTCAATGAACAAAAACCTGGATAACCCACTTGAAATGGTGTCTCTGATATCGCCTGATACGTTGATAAAGTAGGTGCGTAGTTATCCTCCTTTTTGTTTTTCAGCTATGCCCTCAGGACTGACTTTCAAACTCACAGAGTTAGCTCGACACTGGACAAATCTGTCGGGAAAAAAAATCTCATCGATGGGAGTCCAGAGACGTGTTGGACGAGTCAACAGGTGAATCAATGTCAATCGTTGTGTCAACGAATAAACAAACAAGATTTCTTCATCAAGGGCCTCCCACAAACAATCACTCTCACCTTTCCCTCGTCCTCTTCATCATCACGGGGTGTAATTCCAAAAACACTCTCACTAACTTTCCAAGGTGGCTTTGTTGGCCGAACTTGTGCGATTCATGTTCGTCCTGTTCCTGTTCATCTTGATTCATCGGAGAAAGCAACTTGGACGGTCCTCAAGTATGTTTACCCTGAAGACGTGAACAGGAGACAAACGTTCACATTGCCTACACCAACCGTAACGACTGTAAACTCTGCCTTGTCGTCATCTTCTGAACCATCTACGCCACCTGTGACTGTCGGTGTCTCCGCTCTACCCTCCGCATCAACTGACGGTAACATCGAACCCGAGGATATTATCAACGCGCACCCAACCGTGGAAGAGAGGCTCGGAATCTCCGCACTCAAACTCACTTTCGAAACAAGCTCTGACTTTTTCGGACGGGTGACGATTTATGATTTGGAGTTGAAGGGATATCGACTGGGATAGAGTTTGGGGCTGGATCGAGTGGTACTGACCTTAGGAAGACGGGTGGAAGGATATCATGATATCTATAGCAAGCGAATCTGCATTTACTTTCACGGATGCTGTTCGATTGTACCTCGTAGACCAGTTTTACGTCGAGAAGTTTTCTGTCATATCTTCTCATGGATTTATCGGTGTGAATGAATGCGATTTGAACCGCGGGCGAACTGTAATCCCGACGTCGGTGTGGGATTGATCTGCTGGCGGTACTGCGATGCCAACGGCGCAGAAATCACACGGGCTTGAGCGCGAGGGAATCGTGGAAGACAAGGATGATATGGCTGTGGAATATATAAATCTGAAAGAGGATTCCGGTGCAAAGGCGAATTGTCGGAGCAACTTTGGAATGAGATGAGTAATTAGGGTTGATTGACGAGGCGGTACATTAGTTTTAATTATGTACTTCTAAATTGGCCTTTGAAGGACAGTGAATGACAGGGTCTAGCCTGGATGTACTAGACCTCTGTTACTGTACGTGCTCGGGAATTTAAAAACTCCTAAGTAAAGCAGTGTTACAACTAAGTAATGATAGATGCAGAGCAGAAAAAAGAAGATACTGAATCAAAATACACCGTTCGGGAATCGAACCCGAGCCGCTTGCTTCAACTGTGAATGGAAGGCAAGCATGATAACCACTTCACCAACGGTGTCGTCCTCCTACCGCAATTTGTGGCTGCTATTTTCAGCAGCTGAAGAGAGCAGTATTAACCTTCAGATTTCCTGGTAGATATATGAGATACTTTTCTTGATATCATCCTAGCAGCCTGCAGCTACATAGCACCCGCCTGCAGCAGTTAGATTTTGTCGCGTCGGGAACGTTGACGACGACGTCGGAGAAATGTCACCTTGCTGTCACAAAATTTCCATAAATAGAAAAGGCTAGCCTCACGGTTAATGCCGGACCGGAGACAAAAGGGTGATGATCACCCGGGATTTCCAAAAATCGTAATATTCCCCCTGTCAAATTCCATCAGACTTTTTACTTTCCACGATCGTTGGGCTGGGTACATAAACTTAATAGTCTTTGTTAAAGCCTTGGAATTTTTTACAAAGTTCCTGGTTCCTGCTCCGTTACTCAACTCCGTTACTCAACTCCGCCAACGCCTATAGTACCCCAAAACGTCCTCTTCGCCTACTCCTCCCCCTCCTTCGTACCTGGGTCCTGAAGAAAATGGACGTCAATAATCTTGCCACCGCCACCAAGTACCCTGAAGACGCCAATTCTACGGACAGCAAGTCGGATTCTAATGATACCTGTACTGTTTCTTCAAAACGGGTACGCCCCCCTCCCTCAAAAACCTTCGAATGTCGTGGCTATGGAGATTGTCGGATGGTCTTTTCACGCTCGGAGCATTTGGCGAGACATATCAGAAAACATACAGGAGAAAGACCATTTCCTTGTCATTGCGGAAAGACATTTAGTCGGTCAGTACCTTCTTCATTATTACTCTGATTCTATCATCGGTCCTTTTTCATTTTCCTTTCATTCAATTTTTCATTTTCCTTTCATTACAATTACTAACTTTTTCCCCTGATCTACTCTATCTATCACTTCTCCTCATCACCGATCTCCACATATCTCCACATATTCTCCACATATCTCTTTAATCACAGCCTCGACAATCTCCGACAACATGCTCAAACTGTGCACACTGATGAGCAGGCGATGAATGAACAAATGATGCGCGAGCTTGGCAAAGTCCATGCGACGATGGTAGCAGCCAATAAACAAGCTTTTCAAGCTCAAGGCAACGGAATGCCTGTTCCTGGTCGTGGTCCTCGATCTTCTGGTAGTCGTCGAGCGTCGAAAGCACGGCCGGTTACTTCAACCGGTTATGAGGGCGCAGGAAATCCCGATGGTCAGTTCGGTTCAAGATCTTTGATATAGTCTTTCTTACTGATCCACGTATTGTACTTAGTGATGTATCCTGGCTTGTCGCAGTCTAAACTTGACCGGAATGACTTTTCCGCCTCGTTTTCTTACAGAAAGAAAGAAAAGGAAGAAGATGGTGATTGATTCGAGCGTCACTACCCCCGTTTCTATATCGACTAACTATATTCTCTATTCAGTGGGCTTCGTACACAAACTTTCAAATGGTAACCTCCGTCCATCTCTTGGAAACTATAGCAACTGAACGAAATTTAGAAAATCGTCAATTTGACAACGCTCGTCGCTTTCAACCTCAGCCTCAGCCATACAACAATTATTCGCATGATTCCCAGTATGGAGTGTATTCGTCTGAACACTCTTCCACTACCCCTACACCTATCCCGATGGCCTCTTACTCTTCAGCTTATCCCCACCATTATCATTCTGTATCTTCCGGTGGTCCACCACCACCTATCGTGCCTTCAAGCTCACCATCCATATCCTCATCCTCGCCATCGCAGTCCCCCATTCAAGACTTTCACGAACCAGAATTCGAATCGTCCACGTTCAACAGCACCGAAGGGAACTTTCCCTATATAGCATCGCATATTTCATTTGGGTCAGCAAGCTCTAGCGCTCCTTACCTTCCGCTCTCGTCTATAAACTCTCTCAATACCAAAACCCTTTCGGGTCCCGGAGGTCGTCATCCTACACCTACCAGACTATCTTCAAGAACTTCTCATCCGCATTTGAACGATCTACACAGTTACCATTCATCCAATGGACCCATGCAAGGAATCCGCCACGGTGGCCGGTCGCCTCATCCACGAAGTCCCTTCCGACCGTCACCTCTGTCTGGACATCCTACCGGAGCAAGCCCAGGGAGTTATTTCCCGCTTGTGCCTAGTAACGCTGATGCTATGGATATGGATATGGATCGTCAACACCGACAACATCAGTCACAGCTTCGTTCACCTTCGACTCGGTCACAGTCTTCGACGTCGTTGCCTGGTACGCCGTTTGACGAGGGTGGTCCGGGTGGGTATTTGACGGCGACGACGACGACGAATGGGGTTCAGGAGATGAATGGGAATGGGTATTTTTCGAACCAGCAGCAACGTCAACGAGTGCCGAGTGTGCCGAGTGTCTCGATGCAGACACAGGGAGGATATACGACGTTGTCATATGGTGCGGAAATCAGTGCAGGGTATTTTGGATGACAGTTTTCGTTTTTGCTACATATCTCTTTCATAAATCCCCGGTGTATCATATGCTGGTATTTTTTTTTTTACTTAAAACTCCGTCCTTTCGTCAATCGTCAATTTGTGTCCGTTTATTTACTGGTCGGGATTTCCTAGTTATATGGGACCCCTCCTGTTGTACCACCATTCACTATTTTTCTCCATGTCAGTATCTATATAGCATTTACTTTACCTACTTGTCACCTATTTGCGTCTGCGTAGTACATACACACGCTCTCTTCCTCGGAATGATATTTTCGATTATACACGATCAGATACCATATTATCCCTTCCACGCCACGAAATACACTCTTGTATCTGAGCTTGAACCAACTTGATGTTGCTATGTCTATAACAAAATCCGTACGCAGTTTATCCAACTGAACTTGTCTCAAAAATATCTGCGTTACGAAAATGTCTGACTTTTGTTTTCGTTCACTGTGTTGAATCAAGATAAAAAACATCAAGACTTTACTGATACACTATACAATAACCACGGCGAAAACCGCTCTGACAGGTCTGCTGGTTGGCTACATCCACCAGTACATGGCAGTCGTGGGGATACAGATCAGACACTTGTGCTTCGGAAAGTATGGGGGGTGTACTTTCCAAAGTAAGCACAGTGAGGACAGGAGACGATCTGTTATCTTACACCCCTAGCCAGGTTACGTTGAACTTTCGGTCGCGGGTGGTATCTGGCAACTCATGATGTCGCAAGGCATTGTGAGAAAAGCGGGAAAGAGTACGAAGAAAAGATAAGTCTTCAAGTGATGTGTCAAGTCTCAAGAAATGGTACTAACAAGTCACAGGCCCTATGTAGATTCTCGCCAATGGCGATTCATCAGTTCAAGGTGCGTTGATTTTTTTGGCTCAAGCTAGAACTTCAAACAGTGTTGGATATGTCCTGGAATTTATCAAAGTGCGAACCTCGAGCAATGCACCTGTCTTGTCACTCACACTAGTTTCCAACTGGCCGTCTGTGACTTGGAACTTCATGACAGGTAAGGAAGAATATCTTTGAAGCAGGAGGACGTTCACTGGATTTGAGCGTCTTCCTGCTTCAAAGCGATTTTCGGGTTCAAACAAATTTTGTATGCTCATCAAGTATTACTTCGTCTCTTCTAGTCCTTTGTTGTCTTGTCTATTGTGCCCACTGAGTTCAATCAAAGTTAAACCCCCCACATCTCAAATGATACAGGATAAGTCAACCACGATGAAACACAGCTGCAACTTTAAGTACTCACTCTATCACATGTGGTGGTACCGTATGCGTTGCAAAAGGCAGGCCTACTGGTGACTTAGTTGGTTGGCATCCTCCAATATTAGGCAATCGTGAGGAAATAGACCAGGCCGCAGGCGGTTGTGCTTCGGGTTGCATGGGGGGTGTACTTACTTTCCAAGTGGACAGGTGGCACGTCAAACGGTCTATATCCCCTGCCCCACCATTTACGCTCAACACCTGGCTGTGTAACTGATCTTTCTGGTGCCGCAAGGGATAGTGATAACATGAAGAAAAGTTAAGTCTTCGAACGATAAAATGCTGTACAACACTAACAATTGAGTTGCACTCAGGTCCCTCTTCGAAAAATAATTCCTGGTTCGTGACTCAATCATCAAAATGTGTGTAGTTCTTTTGCTACTCGGAATAACCACCTTCAAGTCCTAGCGATGACCTCGCCCGCACTTGATCCAGCATCATGCTGTTTCATTGTTGGTAAGCTTTGAGCTTCAAAGCTGAATGGGGTTTCACAAGGATGAGGTACGTTCCTCGGTTCTACAGTATCTACTCTAGGAGGATGGCCGGACAGATCATGAGGGGTAGGAGATGTTGGTTCAGAATCGTTGGAAGATCAAGAATTTTCTCATGCGAAACCAAAACATCCAAATCCAATGATGAACGGCTCAGAATAATGAGTGATGTTAACGAAGTCTGTGAACAGAAGTCGCAAGTTTAGTGGTAAACATGTACAGGCGTGTAGTCGCGTTTTAATGGTGCCACAACCCACTGTCAAGTTCTCTCCATTTTCACATACGACACATTTAGCCTGTCGTTTTCGGTCATCACCCAGTCTCAAGACCATTAGGCAATGATCTCAAATACACTGCGTACCGTGTAACTTCCTTTTCCCAAGTCCAATGATACACCGTTGAGCCAACAACCAAGAGTTGAGTCGAAATCGCGTCAGCGTAAGGTTTTCGTTCAATAAAAACAAACAGAACTTGATACACTGTACATAGTGAATTTTAGGGCCTAACAACCACACATTTCTACTGCGTTTACCCTAGCAGATTACTAATCTTCATCTGCTCTTTGACGCTCTTGCGCTGTGTTTGGTCCTCCTGTTTTTCCCCTGCTTGACCACCAGATATAGTAGGAAGTTGAGACGTCACCTCCGAATTTGATGCAGCTTGTGGCGCAACGGTTATTTCATCCAGTTCATCCTCTATTCTTATGTACTGGTTCTTCTCTGGAAACTTGCGTCGATACTGGTCATAATCTGTCATAGCCAAGAATATTTTCGTCCAAGCGTCAGGATCT